ACTGTGACTGCGACAACCTGTCGTGATCATTCCGGCTATTGGCCGACGAATGAAAACAACCAAAAATCCATATTAATAAATCATGAGATAATCCGAACTCGAATTCTCTCATCGGGAGTAAGTGCAAAGTTTTAAAAAGGTACCAAAAAGGAAACTAAAATATAAACTTTGCCAAGGCGAGCAGAGCGAGGTATTTAATTTCACAACAATCGGAAGACATCATGCCACTCACGAGAAAGTCACATGGATAGCACTCAACGGAAGTCACGAGACACGAAAAAAGCCAAGAAAAGTCGAGGAAGTCACACGCTGTCACATCAGATGCCGGTGGCAAGCGTGTGAAGCAAGATGGTGGCTGCTGAATTGTGTAAGATTGTGGTGGTTGCACTTGCGGTTATTTCTGTAGGAGAAGCGTTTCGTCTTCAGGCTCGCTTCCCTCGCCCTCAAGGAAAGGATTTCGAGCATCATGCCAAGAGACATTTGTGTAAGTTTTGCATTTACGAGACAAGGACGTTTCGCCAAAAGGTGAGTGATACGTGACTACGATAGCATTATTTCTTCTTCACATTTCACAAAACTCTCCGTTGATCTCACTTTCGATCGTACGAGCTTTAAACTGTTTCTTTTTTTCAACCGAAAGCAGCAGTACTCTAATTCCATGTTTGGTATAACGGAATGACATTTTGGTGTAGATTTTCCTGTGGGTTATTTTGGTGTCTTGCTGACACCGGTTTAACGTTACCGTCACGCTATCCTCTTTGATATGGTTTTCAAAACGCTTTAATCAACATCAATTTTAATTGTAAATGATTTGAATCCTTTCCTGGTCTGAAGTGAAATAATTTCTTTTACAATTCCGCAGCTGGATCACTTCAACTTTAACAACAATCGAACCTTTCTGCAACGCTATCTTGTCGCCATGAAAAAATGGGATAAGGGAGAACCGATTTTCTTCTACACCGGAAATGAAGGAGATATCACTTGGTTTGCCAATAACACAGTAAGTAGTGAAATCAGCTAGACCATTCATAAATTCCTGGTTAACTTATTTGAGGTGCAGCTCGGAGGAGTTTAGGGGGAGGGGGTGGAGTTGAATCCTGACTCTTCCCCAGTCCTCTGCTGTCGGATGATAGTCATTAGGGGACTGGAACTCTGGGAAAAGCTGGGACATTAGTAGAGTGGTGACAACCAGAGACGACATTATGGAAATCAGAAAATTAGACAGTGCTGCTTTTCAGCTGTTATGTCATTTGCTGAAACATGGTTGGAGCTGTAACAGACCGGAAGATGCTGTGTTACAAAACAATTGCGGTGCAACCTCCAATAAACCCGGGAAAAACTAGATTCTCTGTGCTGCTTTTTCCTTCATTCTTCCAGAAGTTGTGGCCAGCAAGTTGAGGCTTCGAATGAAATATCAAATTTCAATTTTTCCAGAAGCAAGAGGGAGGGCTGGCAACATGTACCTTCTCCCTAAATCAGCCCATGCAAACGATAAATAAAATTGACTGCAATTCTAGGATCGAGAAATCGAACGTGGACAGTAATTGCTTTATGTCTTCTATACAGGGATTCATGTGGGACATTGCTGACGAGTTCAAAGCGATGTTAGTGTTTGCAGAGCATAGATACTACGGCAAATCGCTACCGTTTGGAAAAGAATCTTACAAGGTTGGTGGAAGGTTTGTAGCTGTATGGTAGTAACCAATTATGGCTATTTAAATCTCATCCATCAGTGAAACAATAATTGCACGTAGTAGCTTTGATTGTCTCTTCATCAGGACATTTCTGTTTTAAGGGGTATTAACTGTTCTTTTTTAATTTAGGGACCACAATATTTAGGATATTTGACATCGGAACAAGCGTTGGCAGACTTTGCTGTTCTCATTCGTCACCTTAAGGTAAACATTAGACTCGGAAGCAGGTGTTCCTTTGGCTCATCACGAAGATTGAGTGACGAGCCCAGATAAGGTCTGCGTAAACATTCACTTAACTATGGTTTCTGGAGTTACCCTAGCAGTCTTATTTTGGCTCGTCACGCAACGGAGGTGGGGATTTCAATACGACTCAAATCTAAAGAAATTGTCCAAAAGTATTCAGCTGGTTAGACAATTTAAACTTTCTGGGGTATTCCTCATTCACGCAGTAGTACGTTTCTTGTTGGTGATAAAGTTAAACTAAACGAGGAACCTGTTAGAGTACTTAGAACAGTCTGTTTCAGTATGACAGTTGGACAATTATGTAAAACACAGAATTCAACACAACTGTTTTATTACCCCTCCCCCTCCCCCCACCTCCCGCGGAGGCCGGCGCTAAAGCTAATTCTCCTGTCATAGTGAATATTATTTTTATTATACAGGATACCATTCCAGGAGCAAGTGACAGTCCCGTTGTAGCGTTTGGAGGCTCATACGGTGGTAAGAAACAAAACGTTTACGATAAATTACAACGCGCAAAAATCTCGATTGCAACCCAAAATTTGCATGCTTAAATTCCGCAAAAAGGCCGCTGAACTTTCATTCAAGAGTTTCGCAAAGCAGAGCGAAATTTTGCAACAGTGCAAAACCATTGTGTTGCGAAATGTTTATGAGAATTTTGCCGAAATTTCGGTTGAAGTGAAACTTCGTTCATTTTCGCCGATATACCCTCAAAAGTCCCTTATCTCGTGGGAATTCGTTTGCTTTACTTTTGTACGGTACTGTGGGTTGATCGGTGTGGAAATAACAAGTTGAGTCAATGTTTTACGTGGTGAGCTGTGAGAGAGAGGAAGCCTAAATTTTTTTTTTTGCTCTAGGTATGCTGGCTTCATGGTTTCGAATGAAGTATCCAAACATTGTTATAGGGTAGGTGGTCAAATCCCTTTCTAGATCAGTTTTTCTGTATTGCCAGAAAAAAATATTTAAAAATATTATGTAAATATTTTCTGTTGTTTTTCTGATCCAGGGCCCTCGCTGCTTCTGCGCCAATTCTTCAATTTACAGGCATGACACCTTGCGAGGTAAGATCGGTATCCCATAAGGAATAGCGGCGTTTCGTTTCTAGTCTACTCCGCAAATCCTCTTCCTTCTTTTTACTTCCGGCTCAGTACACCGGAAGTAAAACAAAACAAGAGGAGAATCTGAAGGACCTATGCAAAGAATTGCACAAGACTTATTTCCCTCGGATTTTAATTTGCAGAAGTTTTACCAAATCGTCACCCAAGATTTCCATCGTGATGGAGGGGATTCGTGCGTAGATTCCGTGAAAAAGTCGTGGAATATTGTCAAAACTTATGGAAAAACAGGTAATGAGATGAAATATAATCTATAACGTCAAAATTATGTCATTGTTGTAATGATGATATGAGCCACGCCAATAGTTTGTTGCAGAAGTACACACCTGACAGTCAGTCAGTCAGTCAGTCAGTCAGTCCGTCAGTCAGTCAGGTAGTTCGTTCGTTCGTTCATTTGTTCGTTCTTAATTCTCCGAAATGCTTCAGAAAATGCGTTCTATGTTTAGCTGTGACCAAATAAAATGCATAATTTTGATAGCAAAACCAAAGCCAGTCTTTCCTCTCTCTTGCAGTCAGTGGACGAAAAACTTTATCAAAGATTTTTAAGTTGTGCTCGCCGCTGAAAACTCAAGACAACGCTACTCAGTTAGAATACTGGCTGACCGAGACCTGGGTCAATTTAGCGATGGGTAAGTCGTATGATTGAAGCCTGCCATTTTTGATTTCATTATTCAGAAAGAAACTTGTGGAAGGATTGACAGACAGGAACCACCGTGTGATGCTCTGAATCCATTGCTTGTTTTGAAATGATTTCAGAGATCCGATCTTATTACACTAGATTAGACAGCCATTTGACACAAGACATTGCAGATGGTCAGATCTAGTCTGGTCATTACAAGTCTAGTCTGAGCATCACAAATCGACACTTGAACAACGATCAAAATCTGGAACTCTAAAACGGATATGGCAGGCAAACCGAAATTGGGTGTTTCCTTTATTTTTTAAGGGATTTTCGTTGAAAACTTTTACAGTAGCCTGCTCACCTAAAAAGATCGTAGCCCAAAATACAACTGTTGTAAAGAAAGTAAAAATCGCACTTTTTTTTTTATTATGGATTGCCCTTCTAGCTAACAACTACACTTGTTTTTTTGCAGTGGATTATCCATACCAGGCCAGTTTCTTGGAGCCTCTTCCAGCTTGGCCTATTAAGGTACCGCCTTTTTGGCACATGTATGACGGATATTGTTTTTTCAATATAATTAAGGGCAGAAGAAGAGGGGGGGGGAGGACAATAACAAAATCATGTGTGGGGCGCCTCTCGCAACTGTCTACAAGGTGCTCAGTAATTCCAGCGCAAAATGGATCACTTAGTCTTTCAAAACACTAGCAATAAAACCATCTGGGCTGTGTCTCATTTAACCTTCGTAATCGCTTTCGTTGTCCGCATTCAGGTCGCCTGTAAATACCTTCAAGACGAATCGTTAGAAGGCGACAAACTTCTTGAGGCAATTGCTCGGGCTGTGGGTGTGTATTACAACAGTTCAGGTCAAGCCAAGTGCTTCAACACTTCACAGCAGGCTGTGTCATTCCTTGGAGATGAAGGCTGGTATTTTCAGGTCAGTAACCTCTGGCATTGCTTTATAAGTGTGTGGAAAAGTGCTTTAAGTGCGGTCATTCACCGATATTTCCTTTCTGTAAAAAGCGTAGTTTTGTGCTGTTCTTGGTGAAGTGAAAGGCAAGCGTCGGGCTCAGGTGAAGTGCGCCGGGAGAGGCCCCTCTCCTGTACCGCGTGACTCGGGCTTCACGCTCGTGTCAGTAGTTCGTGTACTTCTTCACGAAGAAACCAGGGGAAACAGCGTGCTCTACCAAAGATTGGAAGCGCATCGGG